CTAGACTTAGTCGAAACGCATAAGCCGGGTCTAGGGGGTTACACTTGAATTTTCTGGGAAGTACAATTCTTATCGCTATGACCAAAGACACAACATTTTTTTATAGCTAGAAGGGAGCCAAGGCACATCGACCACTACAGAGATGGATTTACCATTTTTAAGAACCATATCAATAGATTTGTGGATATCATCATTAACCCTAATCTCAATACAAACTTTAGCAAATTCTAGGTGTGATTTAGCAGCAGTGACAGAGTCCACTGTGAGGGGGAGCCTATGGCACTAGCAATATAGTTCAAACCCGTTCTAGAGAAGAGTTCAAGGGGAACGTTGAAAAGGTTAACCCGGACTGGAATGCGAGATAGGTCAAAATGTAATCTTTTCCAGTTGGGTTCCCATTTTCTTAGAATTAGGGGCTTATTGAGGATATTACATGGTCTATATTCAAGTACCCAATCCCTAATTACTTCAGAATCAAAGGAAAAAACGTAGTGGTTATTACCTGCGAAACTAACTTGAGCTTTACTGCCCCCGAGTGCCCTCTTCCAGAGATTGTTGATGATACGTTGCATACAAGATTTGCGGCAGCACTGAGACATTGGCCAACAATTGAGAGCTTCCACTCATCAATTCCAGCATATAAGACCTCAGGAGGAGGGTGAACGAAGATCGTCCCATCGCTAACCCTAGGCGGATAATATTCCAAATCGAGACCCTATGAGCAGCCAAAAAGCTTTCTCCAGTCCATTGGAGATCACTGAAGGGAAGGATTCAACCTGTAGAACGGTCGAGGAGAGAAGGAAAACTGAGTTGCACCGAGGGAGAAGGACTTGAACGCCAGAGACACGATCGAAGTTTTCAGGATTCGTTAACCTTGCTAACGTGCACCCAGAGGAAAAACCTTATCGTGCACCATACATGTTAATATTATTTTTTCTACCGAAAATGTTAATATAAAAAAATATTCATTTTTATGTAACAAAATTAACATTTTCAATAAAAACTAATATTTTAGATAGTATTTTACTAAAAAATTAAAAAATATTAATATTTTCAATAACGCCTATACTTAACCTTATATTAAACTATCGTACAACGTAACTACCAACTAAATCTACCTTCGACTGCCGCCTCTTTCCGATTCACATGTAAAACCGATAGCAGATATATCAATAATGTTTCGCCATTTCTTTATTACAAATAAATATATACATACGTGGTTTGAACTTTGAAACGACGTCGAACGTACAAGTAAACCCTCCAGATAAACCGGATTGCTGGACTTTGACGTTTTCTCATTCCTCGGATAAGGAGAGAATTTTATCAACGTAGGCGGCTTAATTTGTCCTCATTAAAAATTAATTCAAAATTTTAAAATAGGGATTAAACACATTTGAATTCAAAAACTAATTAATATTCGAGGATAAAGTTGTAGGCTTTTTTACTCAATTATCATAAATAATTAATATCACAAATAATCTTATTTTTTAATGATCATTTTATCTGACATGTAAGATAAAAATATGTCTCGTCAAAAATAAATTTGAAAACACGTATTGTAGGTTGGGGGTTTTAACCTACGTGACAATAGTAGGAGCACATGTTGGATTAAAATAAAACAAATATAAAAAATATAAAACATATATAAATTTTATCTAAAAAGAATAAATGTGTGCTATGTGTGTCATATATTCATACCATCAATAATCATATAAATTATTCTTACTAGATTAATCGAAACTTAATAATTTTACCTTCAAGCATAATTAAGAAATATCGTAAGTAATTCCAATCAATTGTATATACAACTAATCATATTTTGGATATTTCAAAACGTTATTCTCGAGCTGTAACACAATATTTAACAAGTTAGAATATAAAGTGCACTTTACTTTTGAGTTTTCAAATTTGTATTATTTTATTGAAAATGTTTAAAATTTAAATTTAAAAATATTTTTAAGTATTTAATTTTTACGAATTTATCATTTATCATTTTATAATTGTGATATTTTTTAAAATAGTGTTTTTAGTGTGTGTGTTTTTTTTCAAAAATAGTATTTTAATTTTTAGTATTTTATATTTATTTATTTTGAATATTTTAGTAGTTTTATATTTAAATTTGAAATAAGTTTTTAATTTTTTAAATTTTTAATAAATCCTCAAGCTTTTTATAAAAATTAGGTTAGTCCTCGAACATTTTAAAAAATCAATTAAATACATTTATCATATTATCATCCATAGTAAATTATCACGTCAATATCATGGACTACTACGTTAGTATTGTGAATCGTTATGTTAGTAGCATAATAGTTAATGTCGCTTTCGTTAGTTACATGATCATATTGATTTTTTTTCTTGATTACAATAAATGTAAAAAAATTCAGAGATTACATATTTTTTTCAAAAGTTCAAGAACCTCGAATACTATTAAACTTAAAATTTAAGTATAATCTATTCATAGAACAGTAGAGGCTGCGATCTTAATGTGGAAAGGTACAATCTTGATTATATTTATACATGACCAGATTCAGCATGTAGTAGTTACGTAAACTCAAAAGTGTGGAGAACTTTTGGGTTGTCTCCATGCTCAGGAAGCTTCCAGTTATTGCAAATTGATTAACTAGCTGCTCCATTCAACAGGGAGTGTTGCTATGTATACAAATTACAAATAAAACACCCAGAAAAGAGTTTAAAACGTACCCGAACTTAGCGTCTTTAATAAAGACCTTTATATATGATGAATTGATGATGATGACGAGATAAGTCGTATGGACTTGTGGTATAACCCCCGGCCTTGCAAGTGATCCTACTGTTAAAAGTGAATGCTTCATGTTAAAAGCAGGTATTTGATTAAAAGTAGTCGTCGTTTTCATCAATTCTCTATAGCTATGTTACTGGATCGATGTTATATATATCATCATTTTTTCCGTGCTGATCAAAAAGTAGAAAAATTAAGAGACACCCCATGTACTCGTTTAACTTATTAGCTGGTCAATGCCACCTTCTTCCTTTTTTTTTGTTATTTGCATATCCTAATGGGATTTTGTGTGCATCATAAAGAAGATTACCAAAGATACATACTTTTGATAAAAGACATTAAAAAAGGAACCATCATTTCATGGAAGGGAAAGAAAAGGGGATGGCTATTTAAGGTTCAATGGATGAATCAATAGTGTTTTCACATGCATATGTTTGCCCAATAACATGCATCTTTCTTTCCATGGATACCGAACATTAGGTATAAATAATCTGGCTTTACTATGTAGGAATCATTACCCAATTCTTCAAAGGGTGTGTAGGTGACTGTTGAATCCATTTTGCTTTGAAAAGGGAAGCAGGCTATGTACAGCTAGATTCATTTCCCCATGATGGTTTGCAACAAAGACTAGAGAGATAAGATAAGCTGATCGAAGAAGTAAAACCTTATCATTAAACCGTGATCTACTGACTTCTGTGAAGAAACAAAACCTAATAGAATAGGCTCGGCGTAAGTAGCCCAAATTTTGGTTGTCGGTCCCTTGGGGCATACGTTAAGCTTAATGGGTCAAAGTTCTTCAATTTTTGGGCTTATCCCTCTCTAGAAATATAATCATTTACGAGTTTTCATCTCAAAAGGAATGCTGGAAGTCTTTTACTAGAAAAATGTAAACAAGTACGTTGAGATTTTAAATATGGTATTTTACATTTAAAATTCAGTTTAGATTTTATTTAATTAATGTTTTGATATGTTGAAACGTTTTAACAATTCATAAACTTGTATTACATTCTTGTTGTTGTTTACTTTCATATGTGGTATGATAATAGAAGTTAATGTATCGCATGCTTAAATAAATTTTAATTAATTAATAATTTGTATTATATTAATATATTTTTATATAAAATATTATATATTTACATTGTTTCAAATAAGAATAACAATGTGTTTGGTAGACTTGTTATTTATTTAATAAGGTCATACGATTCCTTCGGCTAATATTGGTATTAACTATCATGCATGTGAGAATATATATTAATTAGTTTTTTCTATCAATTAAATTTGAATTCGACGATTTCTCTTCTTAAAAAATTATCTTTTCTAAAGCCCAAGTAATGCATTAGTTTGTGTTAGTCGGGCTTAATGGTTTAATTCCCTTTCGATCAGGACAGAATCATAAATTTTAAACTACGATGTCATAATTTAAAAAATTAAAAGATTTAAATAAGTTTATATAAATTAATGTATAACATTAATACTCAATAGGTTAATATATAACCTAATTAAAATAGGTATATACAAATAAAACGTTTGATGAATTATTAGTTTATTAAGTTTAATAAATTAATATGAACAAAATTTTTATGCCCTATTATAATCTTATTTTATTTAATAAATATTTTTATACTACATGGTAAATATATTAATAATAATATATTTTGAAAAGGTAAATATCGATAGAATTGAAATGAGTTTTTATATTTTTTATTATTAGATATTTTATAAAATATTTAAAAAAAGATAGAATCAATTTATTTTTTAAGGATGTCATAATATTTTATATTTTTATATATAATTTATAAAAAGTTTTGAGTTGCCAAATAACACCTCTCATTTTATACCGACTCCATCGGTGCTTTATTATAATTTCCATCTTCTTCGTCAAACATATCAATCGTGGCTTTATTATATAAAATATTAATAAAATTGTATTGTTTCTATAATATATTTATACAAAATTGTACATTAGAATATATTTCTCAATCGTATTCATACACTATGTTCGGGTTGTACAACGAAGGAGAAGTGTAGCTTGAAAACTAGAACCAAAAAGCACCACGTATTGTCATACATGCCGTGGAGTCTTGAATCGCCACTCATTTCTTCAATCCCAGTCGCAATTACAATCTTCTTAGGACCGAACAAGCTCGAAAAGGGAAAACAATTCCTTGTATAGGGGAGTAGATGGAGAAATCAAACGGGAAGGAATCTTTAAATTGAACTAACAACTTCATAATTATTTATTAAAAAAAATATTTTCGGGACATCAAATAATTATCAAGTAGGAAAAAAAAGAAAAGAAAGAAAATGTTTTGCTAGTCAGTCCAGAACCATTTCAACTCGTCTACCGGCGGCGCCTCCAAGATCATTCTATCCAAATCTTTAAAAGAATAACCCTTGGTTAACACGGAAGCACCGCCAGAGCCGACGCCCGGCGTGGCAGTGCCCCATGGCCTCTCAGCTGCAACCTTTGTTTCGGGTTTTAAACCGGAAAATGAACTCTCCTCTATCCATGCAACGCAACAATCCTTGCCTGTAAGCTTTTGAACTACAGATTTGAAGCTGAGGGGATCAGTTTGAACGTACCGAGTATCAATGAGAACTACCTTAACATCTTCATGAGATCCAGCCGTAGGCGCCATTAGAAAGGAAGAAAGATACTAATATTCCTTTGCTTCAATAGGAAACAGTTTTAGATGTATGTTGCAAGCTGTAACTTGGGTTGGAGAGGATGGTTTATAAAGGCCAAAAGAAGAGGGGACCAAAAGGGCGAGATGTGACGTTCGAACAGTTATCGGAGAAATGAAAGCAAGTTAGTTGACTGTATGAAAAGGGAAATTGCACGCAGTCAAAGCATAACGCCTTTGATTTGTAAAGCAAAGAGGGAAGATCAAATCAACGAGTCTTCGTCAAAACACGCCTTCTAGGAATTGTACAAACTCTCTTCTTTTTTCTATACTGTACTTTTATTTCGTTAGGGTCACTATTTATTTTTCTGCAATTTAGACAGAAGCTAAGCAGTTCAATTATTGAATATTTGAGTAACAGTAAATATTTACCATTTTATAATATCTATATATAGAGAGAGAGACATTTAAAAAAGAGAAATATTTATTTTTTATAAGTGAAACTGTCTTGTTTTATCAAATTGATGAACAACTTGCCCAGTGGGTGAAGACCGCACACCCCAGCCCCAAGTTTCTATGAATCTACGCTAGAGCGGTTTCCGCAATGATAGCATAATCCAATTCTTATAATATTGAATTGCAAACCCATGTTTTATTGCACCCTTAATTTGCTGGAAAAAATGTATCAATTTTTTACTTTTACCCTACAACCTGAGATGACGTTGTACACTTGGCCAAAAAGGTTAATAAGAAATGTTATATCCATGACCATAAGTCTTTTCCTATACTGTTTTAGCACCATATGTCTTAAAAATATTGATTTTGTTTAATATGTTTTCTAATTTACTTACCTCTTATTTTCATTCAGTTATGCGATAGTCAAAGAATAAGATAATAATTGTCAAGTTTAAATTATCTGAATATTTCATTGTTAAATGTCAAATAAGTAATTAATTAGGAAGGTACTTAGCATCTTCCTTGTTAACCCCACATGCAAAATTAGACTCGTGCATGAGATGATATTGGAATTGAATAGATGGGTAGAAACTTCATGTGTTGGAAGGAAATTTTGTACATCGAGAAGCTGAAATTTTCTGGAGATAGTTTTGATGATCGAAGAAAAATAAGTAGGCGGCTGCCACAAACTTGCTTGGTTTACAAGTACCGCACATGTACGGTATGAAAGAGGAAAATGGAAAGAAAAAGGGGAGATTCCAAGTACATGAATCTTTACAACTCTTCTTGTCTTACCCTCCAACCTTTCGTTGTATTATTGGTGGTGAAAGTCTTGGTGATTAGATCCTGGAAATTTCGTAAAGGACCCTGATTTCACTTGTTTAGCTAGGCTAAAAGTCTTCATTGCACATTATGAGTACGCAGAACTAGGGGTGTTCAAAAAATCTGAAACTGTTACGTTTAATAGGTTAATAATTGAACCGTTAATATTAAATGATTTCGGTTAATCGAACCACTAAAAATAATGGTTAACGGTTAAGGTTTCGGTTACAAGTTTTGATAAACGGTTAACCAACGGTTAACCGTTAAGAAATTAAATTTATAATTATATATTTCTAATTTATTAGATTTTTACATAAATATCTTAATATAGTTTTCTATTATTTATAATTTATATATATATTTAATAAAATTTGTATACAAATAATTTAATATATATATATATATCATTTTTAATTTTTATTTCTTTGAAAATATAAAAATATTCTTACACCAATATAATTATGTGTTTATTGTTAGGTATTATGTTATTTGGAGATGTACATAATTACACCGATGTAATTATGCGTTAAGTGCTACACTTTTTTATTTTATTTAAATACACCGGTTTAAATATATATTAAGTTATATATTTTTTTGTAGTACGAATTATGAAAAAATTTGACAAATAATTGTAATATATTCATCTGTAATCGAACCAATAATAATGATTAACCGTTAACAATAACTGTTTTTTAATGATTAAATTACGATTAGAAATATCTCATAACCGTCCATGAACAACCCGACACATAACAAAGTCATTACTAGACAACAAAAAGGCTGAACCACAAGGGCTAAGACACCCCTCTGCTCGAGGAAGCAGATGGAATTCTAATGATTTTGCAATGGGCCTTTTAGTACCAGGACAAACATTAAATGTAAGTCGAAAATTCAGATAACCTTTTCATTATTACCACTTCATCATTGGGCCCTCTCGCTCTCAGCCCTGCTTGCATTGGCTGCGTCAGTACCAAACTTTTTTTTTTCTTTAACAGATGTGATTATAAGATAATATATGTTTATAATCTTTCTTAATCATTTATAATGCATACACGACTTGCAAACACAACTACTTGAATCTATGATCTCAAGAGAGAACAATACTCCCTTTTAACCACTAAAGTCACTTAATGAGTTATACCAAGCTTCTTAAAAGATTGAATATATTTTATCCCAAATTAATTCAAATATAAAACAACCATAATATCTTAACCAAAATAGTACCAAGAAAAAATTTCCACATGGTTCCTGCACCACTATAGCCAACCATAATCGAACAAGTTACCACACAAGCAACTCTTTTCTTAAAGAACAAGGGAAGAAATTGTGGATATCACGAAAAGACTTTGATTGAACATTGAAGTGAGTTGATATGGCTCGTAAGCAGTTGTAGGGTATACAGTCGTTGGGCGTGTATGTGTAATCAAGAAAAATTAAAGACATTAAAGGGTTTAAGGTAGTAGTCGGAAAAAGGGGGAGGGGGTTGAAACTACACTGTCACGACTATACAAGTGTCGAGCTTCATTATAATATCAAACCACATTTTCACACACTATTATTAACAAAGACCCCTACAGATAATGTGAAATTGGTTCTCTTACTTCTGTAGAAAAGTGTTGAACATGATCTTCCAAGGACTACCCTGGAATCTCATCCTTACTGAACATGGTCATAAATCTTAAAACAGAAACACCGAGGTTAAAGACGAGTCCTTATCCTTTTCTGCACATCAACCAAGCCAGAAAATGCCCCTCCAACGTCAATGTATATTTCAGTCAAAATATTATGGACAGCATTTCGTATAAGAAGAAGAATCCTGATATTTAAGTGTGATCGATGAAATATATTCGATTTTCAGGCTACTGATAGATAGCAGTCATTCCAACTGTACAACATTTGTAATTTTGTGTAATTATGATTTATTAAACAACTTACAAGACACAACATTTGATACTTCAGAGAAGCTACGCAAACAGAACTTTTGAACTCGAGGGTGTCAAGTCAGATAAACGTTCCGGGGCGTTGATAACATGCCATCGAAGCCCCATTTCTCAGAGCTGCTTGTTTGATTCAGGCTTGAAATATAGCCCACAGCAACATGAAGGTTGCAACTCACAACATATATTCTGTTATCGCATGAACTGACAGCAAAAGGTTTGCATATATGCTCCGGTAATGGAGGGCCTTCTATTACTTCCCAGGAATCACTGCCTGGATCATAAACCTTAAGCTTCATTCTTTTAAGCTCAGAAACCACAAATAAATGCCCATAGACCACCACAATCGAGCCAGTCCAGCCTTCTCTCGATCCCACAGCCATACACTCCCAATTGTTAGTTCTCGGATCATAAACCTGACCCCTGGGAGAAACAAAGAATGGCCAAAGCCAGCCGTTTGTCACAAGAAGCTTACCGTTTAGAACTGCAGAATCATAAGATGCCATATTTGTCCCCATGCTTGCAATGGGATCCCAACATCCCTTTGGAGGATCTAAAACCTCTGGCTGAGTCGAGCTCAAAACGATCTCCACTATTTCCACCAGTTACATATATCATACCATTAATCACTTCACTAGCAAAAAATGACCTAGCAGTATTCATATTATTCATCACAGTCCAACGATTTTTTTGGATCTCATACTTCAACACCAAGTCAAGCGGGCAATCAACATTAGAGATCATACCCCCACAAACAGAGAACCCTCGTGTGGAATTGAAACACATCTGAAACCATGGGGGCAAACTTTGTCTTTGCATGGCATCGATGGGATTGTATGCCAAATAAAGTGGACAAAATCAAGAACCTGCCATTGTATTTTCCCAGTGCATTTGTGGAAGGCGAATACAAATAGCCGAGGGTCTTTGAAACCTAGTTCCTTCCTTTGGGTGAAAAATCGCTCTTTATTACCAAGCAGAAGATGCCATCGCTTGCATACAACTTTGCAAGCTGCAAGGTTCTGAACTGAAAGACTGAGGAGACAATTAAGGGCCACATCATTTGGAAGACCTGGAATAACAGGTTCTCCTTGAAGAGACGACTCGTACTCTGATGAGGGATTCAACAATGAAGATGGAACCACAGCTAATCTAAATTTTGGGGACAATGTCATCTGAGAATCCCCTAGCTTATGCACAGGTGCCTGCTGGGACGACAGTCGAACCCTTTGCATCTTTCTCTCAAAGAACAACAATCTAAATCCTTGAAGACCACCCAAAAGATCTTGTTTAAGCTAGGAATTTCCTGATGTTCTTTTTCATCAAATGGATTTACTTTTACTTGTGAATTGAAGAAATTAAACATCCAAATCCCAGTCGAAACTTCAAAAAGTATATTCCAAGTTGGCCGCTTGTTCTTTCACACACAGAGAGTAAACGAACAATTCATTTTCACTGATTGCAGATGCACCCAAAACAAAAACACGATTTCCCCTTTACACAAATTCCTTCCAAGACTTCATTGTAATTCACCAATAATACACTTGGAATGATCCAAACTTCAATTCCTAGGCACCAAATATAACAACTTGTAATTCTCTCTATCAATATGCCATTTTGGCCTATCGGGAAACAAATTAGATGAATCTAAATCAAACAAAAATAACACCGAGGTAGAAAATTATCTCCAGGAAACAAAAAGTGAAAAGGAAAATTAAACACCAATAGTATCATGAATAGAGCTCTAAAGAAAATCTATTTTTTTGCTTCTAATCCAAGAAGAAAACTAGAAGCCCATAAAAAGCACAACACATAACTCATAGAAAGGAACTATTTATAGCCTGCTGAAATTGATGATTC